AAGATTTCTTTTATATCCAATTCAAGGGTTTACCATTTATAAACTGTTCGCAATTTGTGACAGACAAGTTTTAAGTACAGCAAGAGATGTATACTTATACAGTTTGTATCCTGATTTTACTGCATTAAACAATTTTTTCTCTCACAATATCCGTGACGTCACAATTACGTCATAACCTCTTGTAACTCGTTTGTAAACCATTCAAAAACCAAATGTAAGCTGTGCCTTCTGGCCCTAAAAGGTGTGTCTGGAATGAAAATAGGCCATAGGAACACCCTTTCAAAGATCTTAAAGTACTTTTTACCTACGAACATCATTTTGGAGGAAATATATTTTATTGCTTGTTACATGAGGTAAAAATGCTAAAAACCTCAATTTTGAGGGACAACAAAATCAGTGAATCAAGTTAGGGAATTAGGCCATAACCAGATATGGGCAGTCATTTTATTGATCAAGTGATAGTGCGTGTGCCAAGTCTGGCTCAAATTTGTAAATTTCAGTGAACGTTATGGGCATTTAAAGCATATGACAAATCAGACAATCATGGACAAATTGTGTTGGAAAATGCCAGAAATGTCAAATCATAACCGTAATACCAACAGAATAAGTGTCAACACCCCCAATCCTCCTTTCAAAGTTGGAAAATGGTAAAATGCAAACTTGTGTTAATAGAAAGTGTTTTGGCAACATTGCACAGGGGTGGGGAGGGGCAAAATGTGTATGGAATGATTTTTTTCCCAACCCTTGTGACCAAGGTTGTAGATCAAGTACATTGGATATATTTTCACTTCGTTAACTATTTCAACAAATAAAATTCGATCTGCCTCAATTTGGCCTGATTCAACCCTTACTGATGATTAATTTTTGTGGTATGTACCTGTTTGCTTACTCTCAAAAAGTGTGCATTATATGGTAGTTTTTAATTGGCTCATTGTGATTTGTCTTAAGTTAGGTTGCATTTACATGTAGTTTTTTGGGACTTCAGTATTTACAACCCTTTATCAAAAGGGTTTTCTAAAACAGGTTGTCACACAGTTTAGAATTCCATGTCTTTCATTTCAGGCACGTTTATGCAGCTCTGTATTTAAACCAATTATAAGCTTAAATCTTTGCTTTATTTCATGGATTGAAATGATACTGATATTCAAAGAATCAAAAACCAGTCAGCAAGAATAACTTATAGGTAATTTGTGTATTGCTTCAAAGTTTAGACTATGTTCCCCTGTGTACATCCTGACGTGCACAGACTACTCTCGTGCTAAAAATAAAATGTAAAGTAAACAGAATGCAAGTGTTACACTTCTAGTAGCATTACAGATACAATTTGATTTGGCTTGATGCCCCAATCTGATCTGATACCCTCATCTGACCCATGGTGGTATACCTGTAGATACAGTGAGTTATTGATCATACACCTAACATTCATTTTTTTGAGTTATACCTATTTGCTTATTCACAAAAAATTCACTTTACTGGTTAGTTTTTAATCCACTCATTTGTCATCTTTAGACTTTTCTATGTGACTGAAATGCAAGTGAGTTGCGTGAACCAAGGGCTCAGACAGTTACAAAATAAAATGCTAAAAACAGCCTGTCACAAATAGCTATAAATGCTTGAGTCTCCAAGTTCAATATCCCAGTCCCAGTCTTTATATTCTGGAGACGACTAGCTGAATGAACTGTATTTCAGTGATGAAATTCTTAAGAATATTGAAACAGACATAATTTGAATGAAAACTATGGTCCTAAGCAATGAAGGAAGGCATGCAACATAACTACATGTAGGCCAGCACTTTGACAAACCAACATAGAAGAAACCCAAACAGGTATGACTGATGATTGGCCAGTTTCCACCCCTCATCAGATGCCTGCCTTACATCCTTCTTAATTAAGTGATGTTCTCTTCAGAGCAAATAATGTAAAGACCTTACTAGTCAGTACTTTGGTACTCACAAAATAGTACACAACTATTTCAAATCTTCTTCCAAACTGTGCAAAGATTTAAAGTACAGAGATAACAAGACTTAACAACAGAGGACGAGGTACATGTATATTTATACTTGGCACCAAGAAAGGAAAATTGGAATTTTTCAGAAAAAAATGGTATCACTTGTGATCATATACCCAGCACAAGATGGGAATAATTTTTCTTGCTAGTACTGCTAAATAGCATACTAAGGCTGTCTTGTATGGTTGGCAAAAC